GTGAACAGTGCTTCACTGAACACAGGAGTGCATGTGTCATTTTGAATTACCTTTGGTCTGGGTCTATGCCCGGGAGTGGACTTGCTGAATCAGTGGCCCTGATCCAAAGCCACACCCTCCCTCTGTCGGCCGCCCCACCTCCACAGACACCCCCTCACCCCCTCAGCCTTGTCCCCAACCGGGGCCTGTGACTGACTTTCCACTCCTGCCTCCAGTCTGCCACGTGGACCCCCGATTCAAGCTTGTCTCCTCCCATTCACGTTAACACAGTGGAGACCGCCCAATATCTCGGGACCTGGCTTGCTGGAACCATACTCTGTGAATGATGATGTGCCGAGAAACAGTCTCAAACTAGTTTCAGTGCCAGAGAGCCATTCATTCACTCATGATTTCACAACAATCTACTGAGCACGTGCTCTCTTCAAGGTATAAGATCAACACCTGGAGTGTGTCACTGAGCTAATGCATGTTATCTCCATCAGGAAGCCCCAGTCTCATTGACCCAAATGCCAGTCAAGGTTCTCAGTTGTCCAGCAGCCAGTCCATGGTCCTCCCATCACAACACCCTGGCTTTTCTTTGCTGAACCTGCCTTCTGCACTCACAGCCCTGAGCCCAGACGTGGTATTCTCCTTGATGCCTGAAGACCATTCTCTGCCCTTCTTTCCAGAGTCTCATATCATCAGACCTGGCTGCTGAGGTCACTACAGACCCCTGGGTCTCTCCTCTTGAAGATTTCAGTATTTGCATCATTGGCGCTCCCTTCATGCCAGCCCTGTCATAATTTTTGGTGGTTTCAGTACTATTAATACATAAATGACATTGCAGCATGACAGAGGCTAAGCCCCTTGACTTCTTCTCCCCCATATCGTGTGCTGAGCAACATGTTGGAAATACATTTAAGGGCCAAGTTCTTGAAGTTTGCTAGGGAACTGAGATGGTGCCTGTAAGAAAGTCCACTCAGGACACCCCACACCTTAGGGGAAGCACCAGTCTCAGGTAGTTTCTTGGGCAATGTAGATGGTGCATGGAAGACCCTCCATTCAGTGCACTGAACAGCATGCTGGGAGTACAGGTGTAAACTCTCGGGGGACCATGTGTCAGGTGAAGCAATCCATTTGGAATACTGCATTGAACATAAGTGCGCTGGTATAACTGCTGCCGCTGCTAAGTCACTTCAGTCGTGTCCGACTCTTAGTGACCCCATGGACTGCAGCCTACCCGGCTCCTCATCCATGGGATCTTCCAGGCAAGAGTACTGGTATAACTAAGTGACAGTTAAACAGGAATCCAGTTGCTAAAAAGACTCACCAGATCCAACTCCTACAGTTTGCTACAGAAACAGGACGCAATATAACAACAGCAGTAAGTTAATATGCATCACAGTTAATGGTTGTTTTACTGTAAGGATTCTAGAGAGACCAGGCACAGGATCCTTTGTCCACCCTTTCTGGAAGACGTGTGGCCAGATGCACTCCCTCTCTTGGATCAGGAACCACTGGGAACACTTCGGAACCAGGGAGCCCCAAAGAGAAGTTCAGCTGGGGATTTTTATATGTCCGGGGTCACCTAGGCATACTGCCAAGGCATAACTGGCTTCAACAGCAGCGCCCTCTAGGGGTCACACCGATGGATGGACATGCTAACTCAGTCGCGTCCAACTCTTCCACCCCATCGACTATAGCCTGCCAGGCTCCTCCATCCATGGGATTTTAAACAGGCAAGAATACTGGAATGGGTTGCCATTTCCTTCTCCAGGGGATCTTCCAACCCAGGGATTGAACCCAGGTCTCCCTCACTGCAGGCAGACTCTACCATGTGAGCCACCAGGGAAGCCCTGGGGTCTCACCGAGGCCATGTGCAAATCCTGTAACTCAGGATTGTTTTTTGTTTTCTTCTTTATTTTAAAATTTTTTAAAAATTATGGTTGATATACAATGTTGTGTTAGTTTCAAATGTACTGCACAGTGATTCAGTTATACACAAACTACACACATGTATTCTTTTTCAGCTTCTTTTCCGTTATAGATCATTAGAAGATATTGGGTATAGTTCCTTGTGTTGGACAGTAGGTCCTTGTATCTCACTGTTTCCAATAAACAGCACTGACAAGCTGGTACAAATCTCCCTGAACCTCCTCAATCCCACACATCAACATTACTAATGAGTAGGCTTCATGCCCTGACCAGGAGCCATGAAGAAACTTTAGCAGAATAGCTCAGGTTAATTCCAGGCTCTCCCAGAACAATGGCTTCCATAGTCATTCCAAAACGGTATAAGGAAAATTTACCATTCAATATTGCGAACATGATAGTGGAATAAAACTATTTCCTCTTGTGGTTTCAGGAACTCTTTGGCATGACAATTCATTCTATAGGCAAAACAACAACAACAACAACAACAGCAATAAACCACCCACACGGGAAGTAAAATTGTCAGACTCAGAAAAGGGATGGTGCTGTTTAAAGATGTCCCTCTAGTGACTTCCCTGGCAGTCCAGTGGTTAAGACGCCGCACTTTCACTGTTGGGGGACACGGGTTCATCCCTAGTCAGGGAACTAAGATCCTGCATGCTTTGTGGTGCGGCAAAAAAAAAAAATAAAATCCTTGAAAGAACTAAACTTTTTTTTTTTAAAGCACCGTTCCCATCCAAAAATAAATTAAATGGAAAGTCCTGTGTTTTAGGAAACTCCAGTCCTGAGAAACAGCGTAGGCTGAGGCCATGGAGAGGCATCTTGAGGAGACCTTACGAGCAGACGAGGGAGCACTCGGGGGGAGCCAGGTGAAGCCTTTCAGTGGCTGCTTCATAGCCTGGACCACAAGCAGCACAGGACACTGTCTGTGGGCCGTGTCCCTGGAAACGAGGGCTGGAGGCAGACTTGATGAGAGCTGATGCTTCAGCCCAAGAGAGAGGACAAAGGCAAGGGGAAATGGAGCAGGGGTGGGTAGGAAGCACTGCACTGGCCACTGCCAGAAACTCAGCTGACGGCTGGGCAGGCGTGCCTGCTCGGCCACAAAGGATGTCTCCTGGCAGGCTGTGCAGAGAAACCGCGCTGTGGAATAGCCTGGCAGAGGGGAAAGAAAGGGGATGCACTTCTTAGGTTCCCACCTGCCTTGTTCCTGTGGATCTAAATTTGCCCTCTGCTGGCTCAGACTGTGAAGAATCTGCTGCAGTGCAGGAGGCTCGATCCTGCACAGATCCCTGGGTGGGGAGATCGCTTGGAGAAGGGAATGGCTACCCGCTCCAGTATTCTTGCCTGGGAAATCCCAAGGACAGAGGAGTCTGGTGGACTACAGCCTATGGGGCTGCAAAGGGTTGAGCACGACTGAGTGACCAACGGTAACACACTAAATTCGCTCTCTACACTTCTGGGTTTATGCCTTTATCCCCTTCAGAAGGCAACTCACACACCTTGTGAGGAGGCACCTCCTCCAAGTCGGGCAGTGGCAGGAGAATCCAGTGCCCCAGGGAGTGTGACCCTGGCCTGATGACACAGCGAAGCCAGGGGAGAAGGCCTTGTGACTGGTGGTGGGGACCACAGGGCTGGTGGAAATATAGGGCCCATGGAGCATCAGGCCATGGTGGTGATTGAGGAGGGACAATAGGAGATGGTGGCACTCAGAGACTTCCTGTTGGAGTAAAGCCTTCTGAAAAAAAGGCATTTGAACCAAACCCTAAAGGTCGACACTTTAAATAAAGAGATGAGAATGAACCAATATACCAAGGCCCCAAGGTTAAGGTGTGTTTGGAGACTGTAAGTAGAGAATTTTAGGGAAAACACAGAAGTTTCAGGCAAATTTATATTTCTGCATAAAGTAATTGAACTTTACTTCTTAGGCCTATTAGTCCTTTTAACCTAGCAACGTCACACAGTGAGATTATAGCTCAAGAAAGTTGTTGTTTTCACAAGCCTGATATTCTACAGTTGACTTCACAGACAGAGAGGAAGGGGTAAAGCAGAGGTTTTTAACTTGGGCCTACGAATCACTTGGGGAAATTCTGTGGAGCTCAATTATTAGGAGCAATGTTTTCATTGAGGACCTCTGGAGAAGGGGATAACAGAGGACGAAATGGTTGGATGGCATCACCGACTCAATGGACATGAGTTTGAGAAAGCTCTAGGAGATGGTGAAGGATAGGGAAGCAGGGCGTGCTGCAGTCCGTGGGGTCGCAAAGATTTGGATACGACTGAAGGATTGAACAACCATACTTTTCTTTTTTTTATTTTTATTTTTTTATTAGTTGGAGGCTAATTACCTCACAATATTGTAGTGGGTTTTGTCATACATTGACATGAATCAGCCATGGATTTACACGTGTTCCCCATCCCGATCCCCCCTCCCACCTCCCTCTCCGCCCGTGAACAACCATACTTTTCATCAACTTTTCGAAGGGTCCAGACGTCGGAAGGGTTAAAGTGCACTGGTCGAGGGAAAAATCAGTAGATTCACCACCCTTCCTCAAGCCTGGAGGCATATACCTCCCATTTGGGGGTCAGGAGAGGAGAGGGAAACTGGCCAGAAAATCTTCTTATTCATAGTTAGGAGGCAGGTCAGGTTGGAATGGACACGACACGACATCTGGACACCAGGAAGGTCCTATTCCAGTACAGACCCTAGCAGAGGTAGTCTTGCTTTGGGTCACAGCGGCTACGCTACAGAAGGTGCTTGTGCTTAGTCGTTCAGTTGCATCCGACTCTTTGCGACCCCATGGCCTGTAGCTTGCCAGACTCCTCTGTCCATGGATTTTCCAGGCAAGAATATTGGAGTGGGTTGCCATTTCCTTCTCCAGGATCTCCCGAGCCAGGGATCGAACCCATATCTCCTGTGTTTCCTGCATTGTAGGCGGATTCTTCACCCACGGAGCCTTCGGGAAAAGAAGATGCAAGTACCTAGCAACTTCAGCTCCGCGCATCCTTCCCGCAACTGCGCAGGCGCTAGAGCCGCGGGCTCGCCGCGCTCCGGCCGAAGCCCCACCCCGGCGCGAGGCACGACGGGAAAGTCAAGATGGACGCGACCATTTGAACGTCTCGGGTGAGAGGTTCTCCCGCACGCCTTCCTGTTGTTAGCAGTTGTGTCCGCAGCTGCTGCCCAGTCTTCCTCCGGAACACGGGAGGGAGAGGGAATGAGAAGCTGCAGTGGCCGAGGAGTCACCGTGACCATCCCCGCCGCTACTCTTGGGCCCTCTCGGTCCCCTCGCCTCCGGAGAGCAGCCGGGGCTCGCCGCGCCTGACGCGTCCCGAGTCACAGGTGTGGTCCCGGGTCCGCCACGCCTGGTGTCTCGTCGCGTATCCCGTAGTCCTAACACTCGCCCCAGGGCCTGCCCGCTCCCTGATCGGGAGGGCTGGGAGCTCGGGACGGGCCCTGAGCACGCGCTGGAGCCATGGGGACCCCAGTTTGCGGACTGGGCTTTCCGGGGGTGCATCTATCTCCCTGTTACTCTCCGAGCCGGCTTCTTTCCTGAGCTCAGCGCCAAAGGGGTCTCAGCTTCCATGTGGGGTCTCAACTTCTAGGTCGGCCCCTTGCCCCTCTTAAACGAAGTTCTGAGGCTCAAGCTTTTAGCGAGATGGATGCTGACTCTAGAGGGGTCGGGGAAGCTCTGCTTTTTTGCAGTCTCAAGTTGTCTTGTGTGTGCACTTGAATTTAGTCGAATTTACTCTTGAAGCAACTTTGTGGTTACCTCTGGCAGGGTAGTTTTTGTTGCTATTAAGCAAGGCTGATATCTTAATATATAGCGTATCAGTTTAATACAGTACTTAAGTCTGTAGCTCTTTATGTTGCCCCCTGATAAGTAAAAACACGTAAAAAATTGGGGAGATTGCAAAAGTATTAAATGTGTTCTCGTAAATAGTACAAAAATATTGTACTTTGAAAATACTCTATAATTAATAGTTTTGTAATTTTCTAAGTTTTAATAGAATAATGTTCCAAAATTGCACAACTGAAGTAGGATAAACTCTCCAGTCAGTTCTTTAATGTTTGTTATTCTGTTGATAGGAAGACCAAATGAATTTTGTTGTTTTCTTGTAAGTTTCATAAGGTACTATTTCAGTTATATCCCAAGTTCAGGTCTTCTCAGTTCTGAATTTTAGTGGAGAAAAATAAGTGTTTCAATTATGACGTACAGTTGTGTCAGGAATAGCATTTAACTCACAGCAGAATAACACCCTGGAGGAGCTACATAGGAATTACAGGGGCTTTGAGATAGTGTAGGAAAAAAAAACCCTACTGATGCCAAAAAGACCTCAGATGGGATGAGAGATATGTCAAATTTAGTTAAACTTTTAATTGTGAGTGCTGTTCCAAACACTGTTTATGGTACCATGGTTAAATGTTGGTTTTGTTATATGTGTTTGAGGATTTCAGCTTAGGTATGCCACAAAATCCATTTTTAGGATAGGTATTGTCTTGGAGAGAAAACTGGCATCTACCTTACCTACCATATCATACAGTGAATTTTACTGGCTGCCCGTTACAGTATGTAGAAATGTTTTGGAAGTAAAGGAGCATGTTTCCACCCGCAGCTCATCCACATCTTTATAGTGATGAGCTGTACTGTAAATAGATTGTATTAATTAAAAGCTAGGACTCGTAAATTTGCTACAAGTGTGACTGTCCCATGGCCAGAGTTCTTCATGCTTCGGTTTCCTGTGTTTGGCCCTCAAATTGGAATTGATTTTAGTTATATGTTCTGGTCGACTGGGGTGTTATAACTACTGGTGACATTTGACAGTTTATTAGGTCTTTTGTGGATTGATCGGGCTTCCCTGGTCGCTCAGACTGTAAAGAATCTGCCTACAGTACGAGAGACCTGGGTTTGGTCCCTGGTTGGGAAGATCCCCTGGAAAAGGGAATGGCTACCTGCTTCAGTATTTTGGCCTGGAGAATTCCATGGACTGTACAGTTTGTGGGGTTGCAAAGAATCAAACACGACTGACCTTCACTTTCATTTGTGGATTGGACAGCTGAAAGGAGTAGTTCAACTTACGATGAATTAGAAGTAATATGAGGTTTTTGGGTTTTTTGGTTTGTTTCATTCCAACATGCCAGTGATCCTTGAAATGTGTTTTTCAAATTAGGTTTCAGCGGAAATGAACAGACATGACTTTTAATGTTAAGAAGCCGGGCAGTCATGGGACTATAAAGTGCAGCTTGTTTGAATGCTTCATATGTGAAATGTGGAAAAGCTAGTGTGTAGTAGTGTGAAACATGGGAAAGGTGTTGTGGGACATAGTGCTCATTTCAACCTGGTGGTTTCCTTCAGTGCTAACCTTCTGTCTGTCCAACTGAAATGTGCCGATAACTAATCATCTGAGAGTCAGATCTGGAATGACCTTTGATGTTATTAATTGCTTGTACACTTACAATATAATAGGATTATTTGACACTCATCTAAGGATTAATGACGCTTCTGTAAACTTTTTATGACAGTTTATTCTGGTTTTGACTGAAGAAGCTGACTACAATGTATTTGAATTCATACAGAAATAATGTTGATATTTGGAACCCATGTCGAACTTCTATGAAGAAAGGGCAACAATGATTGCAGCCGGGGATTTGCAGGAATTTGTTCCTTTTGGTCGAGACCACTGCAAGCACCACCCTAATGCTTTGAACCTCCAGCTTCGCCAGCTTCAGCCCGCCTCCGAGTTATGGTCTTCTGATGGTGCTGCTGGCCTGGTGGGATCCCTTCAGGAGGTTACCATCCATGAGAAACAGAAGGTTCCATTAAGTTTCTTTCCCATAATATTTTTGAAACATAGAATGTTGCGATCCACTTGTAATTTAAGACTACCTGCAACTGAGAAAGGAGTATAATTGCATTTCTAGGGTAGTGGCTTAACCACTACTGAAATTTGGTAATTTCAATCAAGACTAACATAATGACTTCATTGTATTATGATGTCATAACCATTTATTTAGACATGGAACTCGTGGTGTTATAGTAAGTATTATGATTATGGTCCATTCTAAAACTCTTTCTCTTCACTTAGTATGTGGGGACCAGATATCATGTTGTTTGATTAGATGGTAGAGTTAGACATGGTCCCTGCTGCAGAATAAAACTTACATGTTTCTAGAGGCTAAAAAAGAAAAAAAGCCACATAACTAGATATAGTAGTTCTTAAATAGGGGAATGAGACGTTAGCATGTGGCAGAAAATCAGTCTTCCCACCTTATTCCACTTAGGATACCACAATCTCAGGGAGAGGAAAGTCTATGTAGTTAAAAATCTAAACCTTTCTTTCTCCTGTTTACTTTTAATGAATGGGCCCAGGGACAGAAGTTGAATGTAGCTGTGAAGCAGGGAAATCTGCCCTGTGAATAAACTCCCCTAGTGATTCCCACATGCACCTCACTGCCCCTCTCCATCACTTCTCCCTACACTTAATATACCTTTTTAGTTTCCCCCAGCATGTTGGTTTCATTTGGGGATCTGCAGACATGGGATCTGCAGACGTGTTTATGTTTTGGAGAAATAATATGATAGTATAACATGAAACATCCTATAAGATATATAATGCAAATACCCAGACACCCTACTTTGTTAATCAGTTTCTAACAGTTGGGCTTGGAGTGTGTCTTACCCCACAGGCAAAGAGAGAGTAGGAGACTTGTATCTGGATAATTATTTGATTTAATTAGTAATTCTTGCTCCATACTATTGAAAAAGTGCTTAAACATGTCTTGCATGTATTATGTTTTAAGGAGAGCTGGCAGTTAAGGAAAGGTGTCAGTGAAATTGGAGAAGAAGTGGATTATGATGAGGAACTCTACATGGCTGGAAACATGGTTATCTGGAGCAAAGGAAGCAAAAGCCAGGCATTGGCTGTTTATAAGGCATTTACAGTTGACAGTCCTGTTCAACAGGTGAGTTGATTTGAATTTTAGCATTTGATTATTTAACACTTAACAATTTTTGTCCTAAAATTTAACAGAAATAATAAAAACAGCACAGTGATCCCAGCAGCTGGGTATACATTTTAAAAGTTTTATTTGTTTTCTATATCATCACTTTTTTTTTTTTACACTATCCTTTGTCAGTCAGTTTTTTTCCACTATCCTTTTTTCACGTGCTGCAGTCCACAGGGTCACAAAGAGTCAGATACAACTGAGCGACTGAACTGAACTTGTCAGTTTAATGAGTATTTAAACACTGTTCTTGAGTGATTAGATTCATTATTCTCTAAAAATTTCTAATACATTGAGGGTACAAAGAATACTTTAACCCATGATGATTATAATTGATTGCAGGTATTCAATAATACCTACTTCCTAGTGATAATCAGAGAAAAACCTAGTTGCTTTCGTTGCAGTTAGATATTGCACCTATGTCTGTTCTGAAAATTGGTAATTAAAGAGAAGGAATTAAGTATTTGCCCTTCCTTTTTAGGAAGACATGCAGTTTATCTCCCTTATTTGTGGAAGAATGCCAACTAATAAAAATAGAAGGATAGAGTTTAAAAAAAAAAATCATCATTTTGTAACCTCCAGTGTAATAATTGATTCAGAAAAGGATTGTTAATGAATAGTAACACTCTTGGGTGAAAAGACATTACCGTGCACCAGGGTATTACTCTGTGGATTACTTACTAATAAAAGGAACAGATGTATCTCTATTTTAGAGATATCTGTTGGTCTCCATTTCCACTGGATGATTCTTTGCTATCATTAATAGTGGGGCAAAGGAATACTATACTGCAGCTATAATGCAGTGTATGTTGTCATCCTCTCAGTTCTTCCCAAGATTATATAATGTGAGCATCTAATTCAGCCTTCTAGTTATAGAAAGTATGGGGACTAGAGGGTAAAATTTTAAAGTATCGTGAGATGAGGAGTGGGTTGGAGGTATAGATGAAACAAGAATGGCCAGAGGTTGATAATTATTGAAGCTGGCTAATGAGTATTCATTATGTTATTCTATTTACTTTGTATTTGAAATTTTCCATTATAAAAAATAGAAGGAAAAAAAAACACTACAAGAAAACAATTGTATGAATTCAGAATATGGAACAGTCTACATTCTGGCCTCTTTAAAAAGTTAGTCAAGGAGCAGGAAAGAAAGATGGGGGCTGTTCCAGATTAGAAGAGGCTAGAAGGACATCACCAAATGCAGTATTTTTTGAATGTCGTTAAATGAACTTTGACGCTTTGTTTGAGAACCAGCTGAGGCTGGTGAACTGAGATGACCCTGAGGGATGGGATGGGGAGGGAGGTGGGGTCAGGGTTCAGGATGGGGAACACGTGTACACCAATTGTGGATCCATGTCAATATATGGCAAAAACCACTACAATATTGTAAAGTAATTAGCCTCCAATTAAAATAAATAAATTTATATTAAAAAAAAGACATTCTTGAGAAAATCTGAAAATGGACTGGATATCAGGTGCTAGTAGAAAATTATATTTTTTTCCTCAAGTGGTATGACAGTTTATAGGTTAAACCTATAGGTTTAATAGGAGTATGTCTTCAGTTCTAGGAAATAGATGATGAGGTGGAAATACATGATGACGAGTTTAGGGGTGAAGTGATGATGTGTGCAATTTTCAAACAGCACCTCCCCACTCCCCACATCCTTTTTTTTCCTCCCACATCCTTATGTATAGGAATGCACACATAAACAGATATACCAAAGGTTAGTAATAACCGTCAGATTTAGGTGAGACAGATGTTTACTGTACCGTTTCCGCTTTTCTTACTGAAAGATTTTAGGATATCATGTTGGAGGGAAAATGAAAGCATTTTTGGTAGTTGACTTAATTGTTAGCCTATTGACAGAAGGTTTCAGAGGCTGTTTATTCATGTGAAGTTCCTCATTTGTAAACACTGAAATCATATCTCGACACTGCTTTTTTTTCCTGTTAACTATTTTATGGTGAGTGTTGTACTCTTATAACAATTTATTAGGAAGGGTAAAGTGAATTATTCCCAAATTTTAGATGATGTGTAAAAGCATTTCTGTATAGGAGTGCTGAAGTCAGTGATCTTTTTGATAATTTCCCCTCCATGTAACATTGTAAATGTATTTAATGCCACTGAAAAATGGTTAAAATGATAAATTTATGTTATGTATGTTTTACCACAATTAAAAAGGCACATGAAAATGCCTTTAGATAATTTCAGTGTGATTGTCAAGCATGCCAGTTAAAGTTTAATGGCTTTTAAAAGTTTTCCTGCTATATACGTACGTGTACACAAACACACACACGCACACACACATTTTTAAAATGAGCATTTAAGGAAGGATTTCTAGGTGTGTCAAGGAGTGATAAGATCATTAGGTAAGTCTGGAGATGATGAAATAAGAAATCATATCTCGACACTGCTTTTTTTTCCTGTTAACTATTTTATGGTGAGTGTTGTACTCTTATAACAATTTATTAGGAAGGGTAAAGTGAATTATTCCCAAATTTTAGATGATGTGTAAAAGCATTTCTGTATAGGAGTGCTGAAGTCAGTGATCTTTTTGATAATTTCCCCCCCATGTAACATTGTAAATGTATTTAATGCCACTGAAAAATGGTTAAAATGATAAATTTATGTTATGTATGTTTTACCACAATTAAAAAGGCACATGAAAATGCCTTTAGATAATTTCAGTGTGATTGTCAAGCATGCCAGTTAAAGTTTAATGGCTTTTAAAAGTTTTCCTGCTATATACGTACGTGTACACAAACACACACACGCACACACACATTTTTAAAATGAGCATTTAAGGAAGGATTTCTAGGTGTGTCAAGGAGTGATAAGATCATTAGGTAAGTCTGGAGATAATGAAATAGCTTGGCAGTTTTCATCTTTTACGATAATCTTTAGCTTTGTATAGGATATAGGATTTACTATAGGTTGAATCTCTATTTGAATTCACTTTGCTTCAAAGCTTCTATCTAGTAGGTTTGTTGATTTCTGTCTTCCCTTGTCTTTTGATAAAACTTACTAGCAGACATAGTTTATCTTAAAATAGTTATCATTAGTCTAATTTTATCTTATTTTTCCTCATTTCCATATGTATGTGTTGAACTGATAAGGTGGGACAGTTATGTAGGTGACACTATTATTTAGATATTAATTAATAGGTTATTATTTAGATACCATTTTCTTAAGTAAGCATTTTGTTTTGATTTTAGGCATTGTGGTGTGACTTCATTATATCACAGGATAAGTCTGATAAGGACTACAGTAAGTTTTTGAAATTTTATTTGATCTTATGATTCCAAATGTTTATCTCATTTTTTTTGTTCAGTCAAAATAAGTAGCCACTAATAATAGTGGCTTAGCTTGAGCATTTTTATGTTGTTCATTAAAGAATTTGTGCTATTGGGAATTGTAACTTGTATTTGGGAATCTTTTTTGAAAAAACATGCATATATCTTGTACTCCCTTTTCAGGTAGTGATGAAGTGGAAAAATGTATATGTATATTGCAAAGCTCATGTATCAACATGCATAGCATAGAAGGAAAGGATTACATAGCTTCTTTACCTTTTCAGGTAAGTTTGAGTGTTTCAATCATTTTGTGTTTTATTGGAGATTATTCTTGAATTAATTGATTTCAGAGGTACTGCTACTCTCACATTGTGTAATTCAAATGTTATTTTTACTGAAATAAAATAGCTAAAGTTTAGCAGCTTTAATTGCTTGCCATTTCCATCCTTTGCCTAAAAAGTAAGTTATCTAGTAAAGTGAATTATGATATCTTTTCTGGGAATGTTTTTTTTTTTCAGTTTAAGTGACATATGTAAGAAATCACTTTGGTTATACTCAACCACTTGAGCAATATTAATTTTTTTCCTGTTTCTCATCATCTTTTTTCATGCCCTAATGCAGTCGTTAACACTTTATTTTTTTTTATTTTTATTTTTTTACCTTATGTACAAGTCTCTGTTTATTCATAATTAGATATAGGTTATTTTTATAGTTTTGTTTTTGTGTACAGATTTGCTTAACAATCACTTAATTTCTAGGCCAGGTTCTGGTAACTAAAGAGCCTTTATAAGTAGTTTATATTGTCTAGACCCAAGGTATGCAGCAAACCCAGTCTGGAGCAAAATGGGAAATAACAGCTTTCTAAAGACAGGCTTAGAAATCCTAATCCAGTAATTTAAGATGTTTCCTTTCTCTGGTAGCAGGGCTGAATTATATCTAGCTGCTAGGCCACCATTCACAGGGATAGCCAAAAAAAACAGGGTACAGGCCACTGAAAACAAGACCAACCAATCCACCTCCTGTTATGGTGCAGGTTTCACAATGCAGATCACCTGTATTCAAAGGTAAATTTACAAAACCTTTCTAAGATACATTTGCTGTCAAAAATGGGATCACTGCCATTGGTAAGCCAGCAGCTGTATGAGCCTGTGACACATGTAAGATGCGTCGAAAAAGACTATTTGCTATTAGGCCACCCCTGCCCCGCGGGGGCTCACGTCTCGCTCCGCTCCAGCCTCCCGGGCGCGGCCATTTTGGGCGCCACGTGACCGGCCCGAGGTGGGCGCCGGGTCGGAGCCGGCGGCGGATTGGGTTTCCGGGGCAGTCGTTACACTTGAATCACATCGTCATTTTGGTACTGATATTAGCCACTGGTGGGAATATTAGATCAAACTTCCCTTCCTTATATTTGATTTTCTCTTAGATTTCCTTGTTAGAATTACAGATTGTTAGTCTGCAAAACTCTTATTAAATTGGAAGAAAAATCTAATGTTCTATATTGTTTTATAAAAACATGTTATAGAGAATGGTTTCTTTTACTTCTGTTTTTCTTCACCCTTTTACCAAATAGGTTGCAAGTGTTTGGCCCACCAAGTATGGATTGCTGTTCGAACGAAGCAACTCTTCATGTGAGGTTCCTCCAGGCCCACCCAGGTATGCAGGTCAGAATATGATTTCTTGGGCTTTTTCTGTCGGTTCTTAGGTAAAGTTGCTTACCCAAAAGTTTGGGATGATGATAATTTCCAAGCTGTCAGTGCAGATAGATGCCTTTTTCTCTCATCTCATCATTGTATACTTATGAGTTCTATTGGTACTTCTCTGGCACTTAATTATCTACAGCTTTTTCCCCCCAGGTAGTAAAACTGAGCAAACTCTTGGCTTAGAGACAGTAAGACTCAGTTCTTAGCTCTGCCATTTTTTTTCCATCATGTTACTTTGGGCAAATCATTAGCTTTGGCATTAGTTTCCTTATCTGTTAAAGGAAGACAAAAACCAAACAAACAAGTAAAAAGGAAGAATACTGTCTTTACTTGTTAGGTTTTATGCGGAGTTTTAATGAGCTATGTTTATCATCTTTGACATAGAGCTTCATAGTCTCAGGTGTGTAATAACTGGTAATGTGGTAATTAGCGTGTCTCCCTAATGAGCGTCAGTTTGCGGAAGAGCAGGAACATGCAGTATCTGTCAGTATGGTGCACGGAGTAGATACTAAGTTTGAAGAAGATTGCTTACAGATTTTGATCTCTTTCTGTGTTCAGATAGGTCTGTTTTTTTCCTTTTTTTTCAGTCACTCTTTAAAAAGCAGCCATTTAATTTACCTGAAGCATTTATTATTCTCCCTTTTTTAAAGTACACTCCTTTGTAAATAGGTCTAGGGGACTAAATTTCTTCCTAGCTGTCAGAGACACAGTGCCACTGAGAACAGTGCGTTTAAACAGTGGCTGCCTGCGCCCCGCTCTCGGTTGGTCGTGTGAGGTGGTGACTCTGCTGTGGGCCCTCCCCGGGCGGCGCTGAGTGTGTGTGGTGTGTGTGCAGACTCACTCTGCATGAGGGAGACCCCCGGCAGCGTGTCAGCTGAGGGGTCGCGCTCGGGTCAGTGACCGGTGCTCCTCTGTCCCCGCTAGGGAGCCCTTACCCACTCTGTTCAGCATGCTGCACCCGCTGGACGAAATCACGCCCCTTGTCTGCAAGTCTGCAAGTAAGTGTGTTTTATCAATTCTTTTACGTAGACTCTTATTAGAGTTTGGGAGTGGGGAGGAAATAAAGGAGGTTATGAACATTTGATTTCTTTTATAAAGATAAAATAATTTAAGCATTAAAAGATAACTTTAATGATGAAAATAATGCACACGAATTAGTTCAATGACTGTCCTGGTATTACCTTTAAACAACTTTTCTTTTAGTGAAAATAGAGCCGGGAACACTGATAGGGTCTCTAACTTACCTGTGGAGGACTCTGTACTCTGTTTCTCAGTAATTAATAATAGATGAACAGCACTGAGATAAACTAAAACTGCTTCTTTTTTCTGGAAACAAGAAGTGGAGGGCCTTAGACCTTTATGGTGTAAATATTAATATTTTATTTACCCTGCTCATAATATCATAATTTTCTGGGACTCAATTTTTTAATATTTTCTAGAGGTACTTCTGGATGCTTATTTTAAAATTTTACATGTGACCAAACATAGATTAATATCAATAATGATACTTGAAGGCTAAAAAAAAACCTATGTTCTTTAACCAGTTTTACTAAGGACATAGTCCCAAGTATGTATTCTGATATACCACTGAGATTTTTATCTTCTCTCTCAGGGCTTGCCAAACTACAGACAAATCCAGCTTATTTTCCTAAGCCTTCTGAGCTAAGAGTGGTTTCAACCTTTTTAAAAGGTTGTAGGAAAAAATGAAACAAATTATGCGACAGAGTCAGTTTGTGGTCTGCAAAGCCTGAACTATTTACTCTTTGGCCTTATACAGAAAAAGTTTGTTGATAATTCTATATAATACTGCTAACAGCTACAAACAACCTAAGCACACATGTCAGAGCATATGGTTGAATGGTATGCAGCCATTATTGATCATGTTTTTGAATAGTATTTAATAATCTCAGGAATTGCTTATTCATGTTAAGTAAGGTACAAAACTAAATGCAATATGATTCTCATTTTGTAAAAACAAAAAATATGTCTGTATAGGAAAACAAAACTAGGAGGAATGCTCCTAAATATTTTAGTAATAGTTATTTTGAGTGGAATTACGAGTGCTTTTTCTTTCTTTGTAATGTACTTTTAAATTTTATAACCCAATTCTTTTAAAATTTTTAAATATTTTAACTGAGAGGAAAACATTTTGGAAACTGTCAAATAAGGATATAGAAACTTGTTTGTGCTACTATAGATGTAAAAGCTGAACTCACTAGGAAAAAACTCATTTTTGCGTGTCTTCCCAGTGAAACAGAAACAGTAGTGTGCTGTTTAGCACTGTTTGAACGGCTACCATAGAGGACAGACTTCACACAGAAGAAAGGAACCACTAAGGAAGTCACATTTGGCAGAGTAGTTGACCGAAATTTATGAACAAGTTAGTCATCAAAGGAATCATGGACCTTTTACCTGTGGTCGATGAGTTTAATGGCTTACATTCATTAACATTTAAGTACATGTGTGATATAAAAGCTCATAACATTGTCATCTTTAATATGTTTGAAGAAATTGATGCCCAAAGTAAATGTTTTAAAAATGGAGAGTTAATTATGTCATATTAATACATTAATGGATTTTATGCCTTAATTACCTTGATTTTTCTGTGTCTTTAGGAATTGCAAGAAGTCACTTCATAAACAACAGTCTTGTAAAGCCCATTGTCCTATACTTGATCATTTCTGTTTTATCTTTAAGGTCTTTTTGGTTCATCACGGGTGCAGTATGTTGTAGATCATGCAATGAAAATTGTCTTTCTCCACACCGATCCCTCCATTGTCATGACCTATGATACTGTTCAAGGTCTGCATTCTGTGTGGGCTCTCCGGAGAGTCAAAACAGAGGTAAGGGTGAAGGCAAGTCACTTCTGAACAGAAAAAGATAGTTAATACTGAAAACTTGCTTTTTTTTTGCCACCCTCCCTCTTGACCCTCCCCCCCACTCCCGCCCCATCCCACCCCGCTAGGTCCTCACAGAGCCCCAGTCTGAGCTCCTGAGTCAGACAGCAAACTGCCCCTGGCTGTCTGTCTGACATATGGCCGTGTGTGTGCTTCCATGCTGCTCTCTCCACTCGTCCCACCCTCTGCTTCCGCCACTGTGTCCACAAGTCTGTTCTCTATGCCTGCATCTCCATTGCTGCCCTGCACGTAGACTCACCAGCACCATACCACCTTTCTAGACTCCATATATGTGTGTTAATATATAATATTTGTTTGTATGTTTTTAGAAGACTCACTTGTGAAATAAATTGAGTATTTTAGGGAAAAAAAAATGTTATGTCTTTAATAACTGGCAACTACCCTGCAAGGAAATTGCCCTTCTAATCTAATTATTATCTCCCTGTCCCCCTTCATTTTGACTTAAGGAAGGGAATGTTGTTTTAAAGTTCTCTGAGCAGGGGGGCACCCCCCAGAACGTGGCTACTAGCAGCTCGCTCACAGCACACCTCAGAAGCCTCTCCAAGGGCGACTCCCCCGTGGCGTCCCCCTTCCAGAACTACTCCTCCATCCACAGCCAGAGCCGCTCCACCTCCTCGCCCAGCCTGCACTCCCGGTCACCTTCCATTTCCAACATGGCAGCTCTCAGGTGGGACTTCAGTGTGGACGTGTTTCCTTGTTTTAAAAGACACCTTCTTTTTAAACTTTCTGTTGTGATTGGAAGGATTTAAAATTTTTCTTGACAGCTCCTGAGAACCTTTTAGAAAAAAGAGCAGTATGCCCATTGAGCTATTTTTACCAAGATTCCAGGCCTACTGTGTTGCCTTGCCAGTGAGTCATATTTAGAAACTGCCAGTTCTTGTTATTAAGAGTGCCGCATTCTTCCCACTGCTTGGCAGCACTTTGGTGAATGTTAATTCCTGAGATATCTTGGTACTATTTTCTTTTGTCTTAGTTTGCTTTAGCTTTTGTTTTTATTAGTATCTACATAATCTGGGTTTTGTTCATATGTGTATGTCTGATACCTGGGTTTTGTTCATATGTGTATGTCTGAGTACCTAAGAACATAGTTTAGACTTTTTTTGAATAATTTAAGCGGTTCCTTTTCTGAGGCTGAAGATGAACTGATTTTCAGTTAAAAAAAGTATTATTCCAGCAGGAGTTCTGAATCTTTAGAATATAATAGAGCATGTTAACAAACCATTTAAGTAGCTGTTCTTTTTTTAGTTGTATTTCTGACTGGGCTTCTGCCTTGAGTATCCGCTTGAACACACAGGGTTTGGAAAGCTCTGTTGGACCGTGTGTGGTGTCGGCCTGCGTTACTAACTGTGGCGCCCTCTTCTCTCTGTTTGTTTTGCAGCCGTGCTCATTCTCCTGCCTTGGGAGTGTACTCTTTTTCAGGGGTGCAAAGGTTCAACCTTTCAAGCCACAGTCAGTCTCCAAAGAGACACAGTTTTTCTCATTCTCCAAGTAGTAATTCTAATGGCTCCTTTCTTGCACCAGAAACAGAGCCCATTGTTCCGGAACTTTGTATCGACCACTTATGGACAGAAACAGTTACTCGCCTGAGGTTTGAAGTATATATTTTCATATTGAAAGAAAAATGATGCTAAAAGTTTTAGAAAACACTTGATATTCTGTGTAAAGCTTCTTGCTATAAGCAGTTACAAATACTTACAAAAATGCATAGAAATATATACTAAAGGCTACCTAAGTTTCAGTAGAGAATATTAGTGATATTAATATGATCATAAAAATATACTTTTGTCATTTCCTATTTCTTCCTTAACTTTTAATAGTAATCTCTCCCATTTGAAGTGTTTGCTTATTTAGGGCAAAACAGTTAATTTGTGTAGTTTAGGCAACTTGGGGTTTTATAGCATTTTTCTTAAGTTTTGTCTTTGTTAGTTGAGCATCAGCTGTTCTTCTGTGAAACACCACTTAGACCTCCGTTCTACATGACCTTCCTCCCTTTATGTTCTCTTTAATCATTCATTCAGTCAGTGCCAGTGCGTGTGTTAGTGTCTGTGGTTTATCAGCAAGCAGGTCACTGTTCCTGTCCTCAAAAAGCGACAGCTGGAGGGTGATGGCACTGCAGATCTTCAGACAGGGCTTTGAAAAGACAGCTGGGTATTTTCTGGGTAGGTAAGTGGACAGGACACAGTAGTTAGAGGGGATCAGGAGAAAAGTTAGGAAGTGTGAATGTGTGGTATGTTCCAGGAATTAAAAATACTGTCAGTTTGTTTATGTAGGAGAAGGGGAAAGGGCTGAGAAAGAGGAGGTGGAGAGAGAGAGCCGTTTGGGCTGCTCTGTCTCGTGAAAACTGTAAGGAGGTGCTTTATGTGTGGGTCATAAGTACAGGGGGAAGAGCAGTCACTTAACAGTGGTGACTGAGGCAAGACAGGTGGATTGGAATTTATGGAGTGTGTAGAGGTTGGGTTTCTGGGGTTCCTGGAGGGCCTGTGGATGAACAGGGGTTCTAGTAACCCTGGGATCAAAGATAGTAATCAAAGGTACATGTGGTGTCTAGGCCTTTTCTTTAGGAGAGGGTTTAACATTCATTAGATTGCCAGTCTGTGATCTCTGAATAGTTACAACCAGGCTGTGTAGAATCAAAAAGGGCTAGGGACTGAAGTCCTGGGACCTTAACGTTTGGGGATGAGGTTGGTGAAGAGAGAGAAAGTTGCTGCAGACAAGACAGAACAGGGGAGGTCAGGACAAGTCATGGAACATGAGAAAGGAGACTTTTGAGATGAAGGTGTCATTTTTGTCACCAGTAAAGCGTGGCAGTGAGAGGTGGGCTCAGAGAGGCGGTCCCTGCTGGCAGTGGGTTCCCTGGTGACCTTGTCCAGAGCACCTTGGGTGGGGTAGGGTGTAGTGGAATGGGGTGGAAAAAGTCAGTGGGGACTGAAGAGATGAACATGGATACACAGACTGTCCACGGAGTCCTTTGAAAGGGAATGAGGATCCAAAACTAGCTAGAGGGCATCTCAGGGTCCGGGGAGAGTTTCGTTTTTCCTGAACTATGTTAGAGAAATCATCTTCCTCTTTGCCCCTAAATACCTCTGTGTTTCTCTAGAAAGAAAGGACACTTTTTACCTAACTGTTCTACCATTTTTACAGTTAGCTAAGCGACCAGTAAGTCCCTTTTATAATCTGATGTTTTAGTACATCTTTGTATTTAAAGACTCATTTTAACGTGAGAGAGTAGGCTGCAAAGATTACACACCCAGAGCAGGAGAGCATTGAAAATATGGGGAATAGGAAGTGATTGATGGAACAAGAAACCAGATGGGAGCTCAGGAGGAGAGATTGGCCCTGGGGAGAAAGAAGGTGATAGGTTGCGCTGGGGCTCCAGTGAGATGGAGGCCATACCCGTGCTCTTAGGTCAGCAGGTCAGTGATACTTGGAGGAAAGTGAAGATGTGAGTACAGGGTGGAAGTAGGTTCTATTTTTGTTCGTTACATATAACATAAAAATTCCCTGTATTTAAAAATCATTTGTCTTGGGACCTCCCTGGTGATCCAGTGGTTAAGACTGCATGCTGCCAGTGTGGGGTGGGGGTTGGGGTCACAGGTCGATCCCTGGTCGGGGAACTAAGATCCTATGTGCTGCGTTGTGTGGCCCCAAATTTTAAAAAATAAGTAGATGGAAAGAAAATACTGTCACTAAAAGAAAAAAAGTCATTTCTCCTTAAATACCTTATTGTTAAGTTAGATATATTGCAGATGCTTAATTTACAGTTCCAGTCCTCTGCACCACTCTGCAAAGAAACTTTTGAGAATAGAGAATTTTGGGGTATGGTTTAAAAAAAGAGAGGTGAAGTGGAACCTAATCTTAGAGAATAAGGATAGATAGGAGAGGTCATGTTGTAAAAAGTCTGACACCTTAGACCTTGTAAGAGATAGGAATTCAAGTTTGCATTACTTTGGCAGTAGGCAACTAGCATAATGTAGAATTAAAAAATCTGTAGGTAATGATTACATTTATTGTAATTTCCCCCCAAAAAGCTATGCAGTGGACTCAGAATCAGAGCTGAGAGGAATCTTAGAGATGATATTCAGTTCTTAGAAGTGCTTTTGTGTCTTCAAGGTTATTGCTTGGCCCAGTTAGTATTTCTTGTATTTTCAAAGACTTATTAATATCTGAGGTAGATTTTTAAGCCAGTGCCACCATTTTCTTTATTAATATATCTATCACAGGAAGAAAAATTCACAGGCCTCTAAAGTCTTTATCACATCTGACCTGTGTGGGCAGAAGTTCTTGTGCTATTTAGTCGAGTCCGAGCTCCAGTTACGGTAAGTGTGTTTATGGTTCTCGTTTAATCCGTGTAAATAAGTCTGTGTTTAGTGCTTAGTCGCTCAGTTGTGTCTGACTCTTTGTGACTCTCTGGACTGTTGCCCGCCAGGCCACTCTGTCCATGGAATTCTCCAGTTAATACTGGAGTGGGTTGCCATTTCCTTCTCCAGCGGATCTTCCTGACCCAGGGATTGAACCTGTGCTTCTGTCTCTAGGGCTGGTCTTTCTTTTCTTCTTTCTCTTTCTCTTTTTTTTTGGTGAGGCATATAACTTTATTGAACTAATTTATATACCATAAAATTAACATGTTTTAAGTGTATAATTAAGTGATTTTTAGTAAATTTACAATTGTGCAACATCACCACAATCCGGTTTTTAAATGTCCTCTATCACTTTTGAAAGATCTTTTGTGCTTGACTTCAGTCAGTCTGTGTTCCCATTCCCAACCTCAGAGCACCAGAATATAGACTTTCTGCCCCTGCAAATTTGCTTTTTCTGGATATTTTATATAAATAGAATCATATAATAGATAGTTTATTGTGTCTACTACCTTCTTTCACTTGGCGTGTTTTTTAGGACCCACCACGTTGTAACATGTATAAACATTTTATTCCTCTTACTGTGTAGTATTATATAAACATACCACATTTTGTTCATTGGTTGATGGACATTTGGTTTGTTTCTACTCTTGACCATTGTGAGTTATAGCACTGTGATCATTGGAGCCAAAGTCTTTGTGTGAACATACGTGATTCATGTACATAGATAGGTAGATAATTAGGAGTGGATCAAATGATAAATTCATTGTCAGCTTTTTTTTTTGTCTCTGAGGCATTTTATTTATATGTATTACATCCCTAGAAAAAGAATCCAAGGATTTTCCCTCCTGTGTGTTTTCATCACTTCCTCATTGTCCATGATGCCAGCTGAGGTTGTCAGTACAGTGAAACCAAACTGATGGGATGGGAGCAGGTTATTCTGCCATTTTTCTAGATCTTTGAGTTGCACATCAAAACTGGGGCCGATCACTCCACACTTATTTAGCCTGCCTGTGAGGTTCACAGCAGTTTGTCCAGCCCTGTGATCATCAGTGATTTCGAATTTGCCAATGTAACCATCCATGCTTCGTCATCACAGTTAGAAACCTGATGATGACTTTGGCGCATGGCCTCATAAGGACCTGGCATTTGCCTCTCTTTTCAGCACTGTTGATACTCTTGAGAACTTCAGCCAGGACATTCATGTGGACCTTTCTGGCAGCACGGAAAGATTTTGGAAAGAGGACTCATTGTCAGCTTTTAAAGAAATTGCTAAATTTGTTTTCCAACTAAACTGTACCATTTTACATTCCGCCCAGCAGTTTTTGAGTGTTCCAATTTTTCATCCTTGACAACATTTGATATTGTTATTTTCTTTGATTGTAGCCATTCTGGTGTGTTTGAAGTGGTTTTAATTTGCATTTCCCTGATGACTTATGATGTCGAGCATCTTCTCAAGTGCTTATTAGCCATTTGTTTATCTTCTTAGGTGAAATGTGTATTCATATATTTGCCAATGTATTGACCCTTTAATTTTGAAATTGTTACAGATCATAGGAAGTTGTAATGTAGTACTTGTTTCCACAAAGGTAACATCTTACATAACTACAGTGCATTACCAAAGCAAGGAAATTGACATCAGTACAGTCCACAGACCTTGTTCAAACCATCAGGTTTACATGTACTCATTTGTATGCGTGTGTGTGATTCAATGAAGTTTTCTCACGTGTAGATGCGTGTAGATACCACAATTGAAATTCTGAACTTCTTTATCACCTCGCAGATCCCCCTCATGCTAGCTACCCTTTAGAGTCACATACAGCACACCCTGGACTTCCCAGGTGGCTCACTGGTAAAGAATCCGCTTGCCACAGGAGATGCAAGAGACAGAGGTTCGATCCCTGGGTCGGAAAGATCCCCTGAAGGAAGAAATCGTAACTCACTCCAGTATTCTTGCCTGGAAAATCCCGTGGACAGAGGAGCCTGGCAGGCTACAGTCCATGGGGTCGCAAAGAGTTGGAACGACCGAGCGACTAAGCATGCATATCACACCCACCTCCCACTGTCCCCAATCCCTGGCAGCCACTAATCTGTTCTGTCTCTGTACTTTTGTCATTTGAAGATCTTATATAAGTAGTAAGTAACTTATATAAATAGTAACCCAATAGTAAGTAACCTTCTGAAATGGGCATTTAACAGTCAGCCCAATACCCTTGAGTTAAGTATAAGTACAGGTTTGTTGCATGTATCAATACTGTGTTTTTTAATTTGAATGTTTAGATGTGTAAAGTTTCAGGAGAGTAATGATAAAACGCAGCTCATCTTCGGCTCTATCACCAACATCCAGGCAAAGGATGCGGCACCAGTGGAGGTAAATGAAGGCACATTTCTTGAGAGGTTGAAGGTCTTTGTACTTTAATAATTTGCACAATTGGAAAAAAATTTTTTTTGCTTTTTTTTTTCCCCAAGAAGATAGACACTATGCTGGTCCTGGAAAGCAGTGGGAACCTGGTGCTGTATACAGGAGTAGTGCGGGTAAGAAAGACAGAGCGCCCCGTGCTGTTAGTAGGTCTGCTTTAATTGTTATTTTCTAGTGTTTGATATTAAAATTTGTTACCTCATGACTGTGGAATTTGGCAGATTTCTGTAAGAGTTGAAAATGAACCCTTTGGTTTAGGTTGAACCTAATTTGAAGTACTTCCCTGGTGGTGATAAAGAACCAGCCTGCTAGTGCAGGAGATGCAGGTTCGATCCTTGGGTCGGGAAGATCCCTGGGGAAGGAAGCGGCAGCCCACTCCAGTGCTCTTGCCTGGGAAATCCCATGGACAGAGGAGCCTGGTGGGCTTCAGTCCATGAGGCTGCAGAGGAGTTGGGCATGACTGAGCAATTAAGCAATAGCACCTTGAGGTCTGGGTCTCAGTGTCATTAAATGGATTACATTATGAACGCAGTGCAGTTGGGGAAGCTTCAGTGAATGTAAATAAATGATTTTTTAATAGGAGAAAAGGTTAACTGAAGTTTTATAAAGAATGTAGTTTTAAAATTCATGTATGGTCAGGTTTGTTAACCCTCAAAGTTTTAGGAAAGTTGAATTACATTAGATGTACACTATGTAGTATGTTGGCTGTCTCTTTTTAAACAGTTGTGAAATTTTTATACAGAACAATGTAAATTTTACACGTGTAAATTACGGAATTTAAATATACACAATTTGAAGAATAATGAAGTGAACCTTCATATACCCAGGTTAGGAAATAGGATGTTGCCCGTAGTTTTACAGTCTCCTGGTGGTCTTTCCCCTGTCATCCTCATCCCCCAGAGGTAGACAGTGTCTTGTCTTGTGATAAATCAGTCCCTGGTTTTTTGTTTCTAGTTTTTTGAATTATATCACTAAAGAATAAATTGTTTCTTTGTATCTGAATTTTCATATAAATGAAACATACCATATGCTCTTCTCTGACTTGACTATTTTGCTGAATATTATATTATTGAATCTTTTTAGATATATTTTTGTAGACACAAAGCTGTTATTGACTCACTGTTACACAGTTTTCTGTTGTATGATTACACCAGAGCTTTACCAGCCTCGAGGATTGTTTTACTGTTTCTTCTAATAAACAATGCTTAAGAGAGTTTTTAAAAAACATGTATCTCCTAGTCTTTAGAAAATATGCATATTCATTCAGCTTAGCCTGTGGTGCCATATTGTTTTCCAAAGTGTAGGTTGTATCAGGGTTGCAAGGTTGTACTTCTTGCCTCCAGCAGTGTATGGGAATTCTCAAAGCTTCTTTAGTATTAGTACTAAGTCGCTTCAGTCATGTCCGACTCTTTGCGATTCAATGGACCACAGCTTGCCAGGCCCCTCTGTACATGGGGTTCTCCAGACAAGAGTACTGGAGTGAGTTGCCATTTCCTTCTCCAGGGAATCTTCCCAACCCAAGGATCGAACCTGCACCTCTTATGTCTCTTGCACTGGCAGGTGAGTTCTTTACCACTAGCTTCCACATGGGAAGCCCCAGTCTTCATTACATTATTGCTAATCCAAAGAACTATTTTTTTTCCCCCCCAAAGCAGTGCCTCATTAGAGCCAGGTGAGAGTGGAGGTCCAGCCTCCCACCTGGCCTTGGCTCACAGGGTGTAGTGTTTTTCCTCAGTGTTTGTCTGGGGTAGATTGGTTACTGTCTAAAAGTTTTCTAGCTTGTTAAGCTACTGCTTTCCTGATTGGGTCTGATTTTGGGGGCATCTGCTCCCATGATGAAATTGTGGTGTGCTTCCACCCTACGTCGAGGCCAGTTTGAGAACTAAATGGCGTTATAGATCAGGGTTGAGTTCTCAGACGTTTTCCTTTGTCACTGTCAGTCACACAGAGGCCTGCCCAGGATTTCATACACATATTTAGAAAGTCCTCTTCTCTGTTTCCTTCCTCCCCACCCCTCCCCTCTCTCCCTGCTGCCTAGTTATTACAGGTTGCGGATGGAATGGAGCGCTCCACCCGCAGTCTGTGGAAGAAGGCGGTAGGCCACCTTATTCTTACAGAGTGAGGATGAGAGCCAGGCTCCTGCCCCTCGACAGTCATTTGCTGCGCACTGTGGGGAGGTGTGAGGGGCTTATGCGTGGCGTGAGAGCAGGGCTTCGTCTACAGTCTGCGGCTGCGGAGCCATTGGCAGGGAGGCCATGCTGCCTGGTTACCGCGGAGCAGGCAGTCGTAGGACAGGCCTGGCCTCCCGGCTTTGTGCCGGGGCAGAGTGGGGTGACGGGCCCGCCCCTCGTCTCCATCCGCAGGTCTGGATGGGGGGCACCCAGGGCTGTGGCTTGTTCTGTGTGTTTGACCGAAGTGGGGCGGATGTGGCGAACGTGGTGTTGCCTACCTGGCCACTCTGCCTGACCAAGTTTTGGCAGAAAGGGCAGGGTATTTGTGGCTCTCTCTTGTTCTGTGCCTGAGGGCATTTCTGGGTTACAGGCCCCTCAAGAGTGCAAGGCCTGGTTACTTAGGTAGACACACAGAAACAGAAAGGTCGGGGTTCACGTTTCATTCCAGGCCCCAGCCTGTCAGCGTCCCTCACCTTCTGCAGCCCTTTGCTAGTTGTATCATACGTTCACGTAGATTCTGTTGTGGCGGTGGTAGTTAGTGGGAGTGATAGCATAGAATGTGCTTACTCCATATTTTTATGACCTGGAGGGTGGTTGCTGATTTTTTTTTTTTTAAAAACCTCTACATATTGGTTCTGTCATTTTTATTTTTTAATCCTAAGGATTTTATTTGGACAATTTAGGTAATTTTATCAGTTTTCAGGTCGTATATTCAGATAGTATATTTATGTACATATACATAAGTATGTATATTGTTAAAATTCCACTTTGGTTCTGAATATCCTTTTAGTCTTATCAAGAGTTTTCAGGGATTGGGAGGGAGTTCACGACTGGGGGACGTTTCTGTGCTTATGGCTGATTCACATTGTGTGGCAGGAACAGCAGTGTAAAGCAGTTAGCCACCAGTTAAAAATAAATTAAAAAAAAAAGAGTTTTCAGACTGTGTAGATGTGAATTTGTGTTTTTTTTCTGAGAACCCTATGGATAGTTAAAACAAAGAGTGATTAGCATAGATTGTTGACTCATTCTTTTAAGGTCAAAGAGGAATTTATGTAAAGTTTTTTTGAGGAAGAAGTGTTTGAGAGTTTATGATGGATTGTAAGCTAGAGAGCACAGTTTGGATTAGGTTGAATTTAATTCTTGAGTATCACTTTAGCTTAATTTTTGTTTGGCCCCAAGAAGTAAATGACACTTTTTCTTTCTGCCAGGAGACTTAATAAGACTGATGCTTATAATCTCTGAGAGCTTAATGTGCCTGCTGCCTTTACCTCCAATAAGGTGGAAAAGTGTGTGGTATACTTGAATTGTATTTAATGTCTTGACTGTATTAACATTCCCCCTGTTTCCTGCCTTCAGAAAGTTCTTAGTAATGAAAAGAAGGAATCAGACTAGGAATTTATGTCAAGATGTTTGTAGTTGGATGGTGGAATTTGATACATTATTAAAATTCTAATTCTCCCTGTTTTTTAGTTGTGTGTGGTGAGCATAAACTTTTAAATAGCAAAAGAAATACATGCTTACATGCCTTAATGTTTCATTCAAGAACATGATACATGAAAGCTAATATTTTTTCCCCACATTTTTAAATTCTTTCAGGTGGGTAAGGTTTTTATTCCTGGGCTGCCAGCTCCTTCCCTGACAATGTCCAACACGATGCCTCGGCCCAGCACCCCGCTTGACGGCGTTACTACTGCTAACCCTCTGAGTAAGCTGCTTGGATCTCTGGATGAGGTGAGAAGGGGAGTAGGTGTTGTCAAAAATTGATAGTGTTTTGGAGAAGTTGGGTCAAATATTAGCTCTTTTCATGGTTAACTTTTTTTCTGTTTTAAAAATGGTAAAATTGGAAGTTTAGCTAACGCTTGTAGAATATGAATATTTTCAAACAAATGATTCGGTAAATGCACAGTGACTTCCCTTGTGATGTGTGAGGTGCTTTTTGAGGATGCCTCAGTGAGAAGAGGGATGCATTCTTTTTCATCTAGGGATCTCACAATTTCCTTGTGTGAACCAGATGTACTGTCTGTTTTAAGGAATCATAATTTAATGCTCACTTCAGCAGCAATATACTAAAATTGAAATGATACAGAGAAGATTAGCATGGGCCCTGCCCAAGGATAGCACACAAATTTGTGAATTGTCCCATGTTTTTAAAAGATACTAATGAGAACCTACTGTGTAGCCCAGGGAACTCTATCTAATGCACTGTGCTGACACGGGTGCGAATGAAGTTAAAGGGAGGGGATGTATGTATGGCTGACTGACTTTGGTGTATAGTAGAAACTAACACAGCATTGTAAAGCAGCTATACACTAAAAATTATAAATAAGGAAGACTGTGAAGACTTATGAATGGGAAACAGAAAATACTGTAGGAGATTCATGGATCAGAAGAGACGTTCTAAGGGTGGAACGTCTCTGAGAGGACGGGTCTGACTTGGTTTGGACCTGGAGGACAAATAGAATATTTGTAGGTGGAAGCGGGTATTTGGGTAAAGAGGATTCCCATGGGCATGGGCGTGGAGGCAGGTCAGTGCAGGACATTGCTAACATATAATTGTACCTCCACCTCTTGGCGTGCAAGTTAAGACTCAACAAGTCTGTGGAATGAATGAATACTTTAAAAAATCCACGTAGTCTGTTGGGTGAGGCAGGGCAAGGGGTGGGATATTCTAGTGTTATCTGTGTTCTAGATACTGTTCTAAGCATTGTATATGTATTAACTCATTTAGTCCATTAAAACAGCTTTATTAGGAAAATATTAATCCTTGTTTTACAAATGTGTACATGGAGATACAGGGAGGTTACTTATCTAAAAACATACAGCTCATAAGTGGTAGAGCTAGGATTTATACTCTACATGACATGCTCTTAAAGAAGAAAGGATGAAAAGGTTTTTCATTCTGAATGCAGTCACTAGGACATTGTAGGTTTTTGAGGATGGAGTTAAGAATGTTAGGATTTGTGTTTCAGATGGGTTTATCTTGGGATTAAAGATAGACCAAGTGGTATTAGATCCCAAGTGTTGTTAAACTGTGGGGCCACTTACTTTTGATTCCTTTCTCTCTTGATCTTGGTCCCTCAAGTCCAGGTTATCTCCACAACTCTCCAGTGCCATCAATCAGATGTCTTCTTTTTACTGACTTTTTTTAGTAGCTCTTGGCTAGGACCTTGGTCTGCTACAGGGTACTTAGGCATACTTAGAACAGAATGGTGTAAAATCATTGTGTACAATTGTTAGACCATATGCAAAAAAGACATGTAATTTCTTCATCCTAATTTCTCAAATATGCTTCATGTGTTGTATTTATGACCCTTTACAGGTTCTGGTGTCCCCAGTTCCAGAACTAAGGGATTCTTCAAAGCTTCATGATTCTCTCTATAATGAGGATTGTACTTTCCAACAGCTTGGAACTTACATTCATTCCATAAGAGACCCTGTCCGTAACAGGGTGACACTGGTAAGTGTGCACATTTATTTTTAAAAGGTAGGATAGCTTTCCAAGAATTATGTCTGTCATGTAAAGTTTGTCAGAATGCAGAGTTTTGTCTGAAAAATGGAAACAAATAATTCATGTGATTTTTAAAAAATTGCTTGTAATACATCACTTTTTTGCCCTATATTTCTTTAAAGTAGTTTCATCCAGCTTTTCTAAGGTTTTTATATTATTAAAAGGTGCACTGGAAACAAAGCTTGTTCATTCAGTTTTTGGATTAAAAATCCATAATTTTTGTTGTTGTTAAAAGTGAGACTTTTGATGATGGTGACTGTTAGTGTTTGTATGAAAATTAGGCACTTTGTTTAAAGATAAGATTTTTTGTTAATGTTTTACAGACATTTATTGTGTCTGAAATTTCAAAGTATTCAGTTCTGTTTGAAAAAATACTGCTTATTTTTCGTTTATTTTATTGCATTTTTCTTTGATAGGCAAAACAGTCTTGGTAAGCATCTGCTATTTTTTAGACATCAGAGATTTAGAATGAACAGATTCTATTCACTTGCCCTTATTTGTTTCCATATTCTCCCTAGGAACTGAGTAATGGCTCCATGGTGAGGATCACTATTCCTGAAATTGCCACCTCTGAATTAGGTATGGTTGAGGATCAAACCTCACTTTCTTGTGTTCTTAGTTTGATTTAAAAGGTCTGGAGTAATTACTGATGTACATTAATAGTTGGGGCTTGGAACGTTTTGCTGTGTTTGGAGCCAGGGGATGGAATTTCTTCCTGTGCCGAGGAGCACTGTGTGCAGTGCACCCGTGTGTGCGCCGAGGCGGGGGGCCCTGGGAGTGTGTGCTGGTTCCACTTCTGTGAGGTTTCTCAGGAGGAGGAGGCCATGCAGTGAGATTACAGTGTATGCACACGCCTCTTGCAGGAAAGTCTGAGAAACAAGCCCAAGCAACTAAAACAGTTTTTGGCATATTTGATGGTTTTTAATCCAAAAATAATCTCTCAATTATTAAGAATAATTGAGAAATTAACATAATTGCCTTTGAGGAAAACTTAACATTTTAGCAAAACTACACTCAGAAGTATTTTGATAAAATCAGAGTCTGCTTGAATTATTATTGAAACGCAATTTGGAAAGTACTAGGTGGAGAATGTTTCTGAACGTAGAATACTAAAGAAAACCATGGAATCGAAAAGATTTGCCAACAAATGTAAGTTAAGAAAAGAATGCCTGTGTGATATAAGAAAATTCAAGATGTCTGTTAGTTTCAAAATCCAACTTCCAATGCAGAATGTTGGCAGATTTTGTGATCTCTGGAATTTGCCCAGTGGGTTGGAGTGCCTTTCTCATTTTAGGAAGTACTTTTCCTGAAGTGTGGTGGATGTGGTAGTGTGGTAGTAGTGTGGCAGGTGATATTCTGAGTTGGTATGGAGACGCTTTGCTTTTCTAGGAGGTATTTAGCCAGTGATCTCAAGAAGTATAAGCCTAACCAAAATATATAAAAACAATTAATGATTAGTTAAAAAAAAAACAAAGTGAAATCTTACTCTTGGCGGAGCAAAGAATTCTGAGTTGGTATGGAGACGCTTTGCTTTTCTAGGAGGTATTTAGCCAGTGATCTCAAGAAGTATAAGCCTAACCAAAATATATAAAAACAATTAATGGATTAGTTAAAATAAATAAAAACAAAGTGAAATCTTACTCTTGGCGGAGCAAATAGAAGTCACATAGTTCGTGCACAGAAGCTTTGTACTTGATAAAACTTTCCTCAGCACCTCAGTCGGTATCTGTTTTACATTGATTTTTCAACCATGACAAACTTGGTTATCTGGTTTTCTGACATTGGTTTCATTTGATTCCAGCCTTGGTTGTGTGTGCACACACATAGCAAATTGATGAGAAAAAGCATACGCTGTGAGGATGGGCTGTGGTAACAGTGAATTTGGGAAGGGAAGGAAAAAATCCTCTAAAGAGATTATGTGGGGATACAAAAACATTGCAGGTTGGGGCTATTTCCTGTTAAAAGCAGACCTAGGCCTCTTCCTAACGATAGCCCTTGCCACCCTGAGGGAGCCGCTGTTTGACGGTGTAGCGCTGTAACTGGTTGTCATCCTAATGGTATTGAGCCATTAAGAAAGATGTAGATTACATGGTATTGATTGATCTGTTTAGGACAGAGAGCATGTAAAACATGGTAGGAACAGTGCTGTCAGAAATCATGAAAAGTTACAAAGCTTTGGTTAACCAGAATGTTTAACCCTTCATAGCACATTTTAAAGCTAGGTGAGCCTTGTCATTTGAGGATGTTTGTATTATTATGTATTTACTGAAGTATTGAAACAATATTTTATATGAATTTATTAATGTAGAAATTGTGTGTTTTTGTTAGAATGATCTTTAATTCATTGCCCAAACTAGGACATTTTTGAGAACAAAATGAGAAGCTGTTAATAATTGTTGGGGCCATAGATGTCAATCAGTTCTGTTTTACATAACCTGGGCTGTGTGGTTATTCCATTTCTGACCCAAAATTAATGGCAAAAAAACTGCCCTGAGACCTCTCACAAGCCCCGTTAAATTCAGAGTCAGGTGACTGGCTCAGTCAGGCTTGTGTCCCACCAGCTCTTTAACGGCAGTTCCATTTTCATAGTGCTTGACCTTTATATAGCAGTGATTGAAAAACCTTAGTAGGAGGGGAAAAGAAATGCATGCCTAGAAAGCATACTAAAATTAATCTTTGCTTTTAATAGTACAAACTTGTCTGCAAGCGATTAAGTTCATTCTGCCGAAAGAAGCAGCGGTTCAGATGCTCGTCAAGTGGTACAGTGTCCACAGCGCCCCGGGAGGGCCCAGCGATCACTCAGAGTGGAACTTGTTTGTGACCTGTCTCATGAACATGATGGGTTATAACACAGACCGCTTAGCATGGACAAGAAATGTGAGTACATACGGTCATTCTCCTCCTGAGGTACACTGTTTTCAGTGTAATGTTTGCATAATTGGTAATACAACATTCAGAGTATATAACACACCAGGGTACTAGTAGGCATACCTTATTCATCAAAATGGAATAATGCTAAGGCTTATTGTATCTTATGACATTGTAAGTCAAATATTACTTTAATGATAATGTTTTACTTGTAATTAGAATCATTATGTTTTTATAATGTAAACCACTTTGTTATTTCTCATTTCATCATTGTAACATGGCTGCAAATTATGCTTAGATTAATAGGAGTAGTCTTGATTTTATTGATGAAGAAACTGACTCACAAAGAGATCATAGACTAGAGATTTGCTCAAAACTGGGCCTACGGTGTATCTTCTGACTCTTGGCTTAATGTTCCTTTCTTGAGGCCCGGACTCTCTTTTTCCAAATAATTGCTTGGTCTGTGAGGAAGGTTTAATTTTGAAGGGGATTTAAAGTACTTTAGCCTAAATATCTAGTCTGTCAATGATACAAACTAAGCTCCTCATCTCCCTCCCCAGAAACTTTCCTACAAGTCCTTCATAGGTTATTTACAAATCAGCAGGGTGGGGTCTTCAGTCTTGATGTTTTCGTTTTGCTTCTGGGGATCTTTCCCAGGACAGCCTTGCCTGGTTCACTCTGAAGAAATCACTCTAGGTCACACTTACCTTTCTCCAGGTAACTCAGCTGCACCTGTCAATACATTTGGGTTTCATACCAGCAAATCCATTTTTAAAAAAGTCATTGTTTTTCTTCATTATAAAAGTATACATGCTTACTGAGGAAATTTTGGAAAATGGAGAGATTAAAAAGAAAATAGTACTAAGAGATAACCACTGTAAACATTTTCATTGTTGCTCCTCATAAACATCATATCAATGAAAATTTCCCATATTAAAAATTCTTCAACCTCCCTCCCCCCTGATTATCATTCTCTTAGTAGGCTACCATATGGCTTTGTCATAATTGTGAAAAAGTAAAAGTATTAGTCGCTTGCTTGTGTCCAACTCTTTGTGCCCCATGGTCTGTAACCCACCTGGCTTCTCTGTCCATGGGATTCTCCAGGCAAGAATACTGGCATGAGTTGCCATTCCCTTCTCCAGGGGATCTTCCCAACCCAGGGATCGAACTCAGGTCTCCCATATTGCAGGCAGATTATTTACTATATGAGCTACCAGGGAAGCCCCAATAGCTAATAATTGAACATTGTTGAATCAGTTTTTTTCTTATGAGTAATTTGAGTAACATTCTTCTATACACAAATCTTCAGATCTCTAGTCAGTTCTCAAGAATTGAACCTTAAAAGAGGAATTACTGGGTCAAATAATGTTCAAAAAGGACTGTCTCTCCAATCAGCATTCTCATCAGTGTCATTTAAAAGTGCCTGCTTCGCCACCCAGATTATTCTCGGTGTGGTGAACCTTTGCCAACTCAGAGAGAATTTTTGTTATTTCTGTATAGGTAAATGGGGATGGGTTTTCCAATTTTTTTTTTTTAACCTCTGATTCATGCCTGCCTCTCTCCCATTGTCTCCACCACACTGGTTTGCAAATGTTTGTCCTGAACACACCAAGCATGTTCCTACCTCAGGGTCTTCACACTTGATCTTCCCTCTGGAGAAAATGCAGGCTTCCCAGATGGCTCAGTGGTAAAGAATTTTCCTGCCAGTGCAGGAAGCGCAGGTTTGATCCTTGGATTGGGAAGATCCCCTGGAGAAGGAAATGGCCACCCACTCCAGTATTCTTGCCTGGGAAATCCCATGGACAGAGGAACCTGGTGGGCTACAGTCCATGGGGTTGCAAAGAGTCAGACATGAGTGAGCAACTGAACACACATGCATGCACGCTGGAGAAAATGCCTTCATCAGGCAAGACAAGGCAAGGCCTTGGCCAGGTATTACCTCAGTGCCGCCTGCCGCATCTGTTGTATGTAGAATTGTACTTATCTCTTGTCTCCCACTTATCCTCTTTACCTGTTTAATTTTTCTCTTAGCACTCATGCTAAGATAGATAAGCACTATGCTATCTATTTTAGTTGTTTATTTTGTGTGTCTCTCCTCCCATTAGGAAGGTAAATAACAGTGCCTGGCAAGGATGGATGCTTAGTGAATGAAAGCCCTTGTCCACCTAAATGAAGTATTGTTTTTAAGAGTTTATATGTGTTGTATCATATGAAAAAACTGCCTTCTGCAGTTTCCTGGGGAAAAGTTTTACTGGGAAAATAGAGACAGTTTTCTTATTCCAGACAATTGCATGAATGCTACTTTAGTCCAGATTTTTCTATTCTTTATTAAATATGAAAAAATTGAGCCTTAGAGAAACTGAGGATTTCTGCAGTATGAATAAGTCTGCCTCAGCTTTGTGTGGTTTCTCTGTGTTGCAGTCCTGCAGGACTTGGGAACCCACATCACTGTGCCTCATTCTCTAGCAGAGGGCCAATGCCCCCTCGTGTTTCATTGCTGTGGAGAGGACTGAGCATGCGACTGCTTTTTTGTTTTGTAAAGAAGAATCTGACTCTGACTAATTTGTTGCGTGGTAGCTCTAAGAGGAGAAACAAGGGAATGAGCTCTGAGACTGAGTTGCTTCGACATTTGTCTGGATGACTGCATAGTTAAACCGCGTCTTGGTTGTCCTTACAGTGAAAGCTCAGGATGAAATGTTCCTCAGTGGCAAATGCTTTTCATTTTGTTTTGTCCAGATATATCCTCTTTGTTTTCAGTTAAGTAATAGGGTGGAGAGTAGAGAGTACAGCATTTCTGCCAATGACCAGCTATGTGACTCTGGAATTTTTGGGGGCCTTCCTGAATTTACTGATATGTTAAATGATGGCTCTGGGCCAGATAGTGTTTCTTTTTGGTTCACAGGTTCTGTGAGTGGTTGCATCTGAGGTTAATTGTTCTGTCCTTTGGGATGCTCATATTTTCATTAGATATTGAGTCCCTGCTGTGGGTGAAGCATGAAGCCAGGCTTTTCAGATAAGCTTTAGGCAAGACAGATAGTTCCTCCCATTGAATCGACTGTCCCAGGAGAAGGCAGATAAATGAATATTTTATAGTCAGATTGTGATACATGAAGGTCAGTGATCCACAGGATTATAGAACAGGGTTGGCTAAGCAGTGACATATTGAAATAATGAAAATAAAATATCCATATGTGTGACAAAAAGGTACCTGTATCAGTTTCCACTGTTCTTTCCCGTAACTCCAGGTCTTAATGAATGTGATAACCATAGCAGAGGTGTTCTTTCTGACTGTGGGACTTAGACTGTGTGTGTGTGTATATGCGTGCTGTATTTGGTTGAAGTTTTAGGTATGGTCATTTCATTTGTTGCTTTGATTTTACTCTTTTGTCATTTTTGTTTTTTGATAATATTGTGTATAAATTGGGCTTGATTTTTTGGTGTGTTTTTTTTTTAATACATTCTTTTAAAAAAATTCTCTGCCATTATGTTTTATCACAGAACATTGAGCATGGCTCAGTTTTCATGAACCAGTCTGGCACTGATGACGTCCACTCTCATTCATAGTCACTGTCACGGGGTCACATCTCACTGTGAGGGGCGCGAGTCAGCAGCCTGGCTGTGGGTCCAGAAGAAAGAGGAGGACACAGATTTTGGAGAGTAGCTACCCATCTCTGCCAGAGAATGGTTGGGCTGTCACTATAAACAGACTCTAAATACATGTTTGCTTGGCTCTGACATTTGGCTAACATTGGGTTGATTCTTTGAGACTGGGTGTATTTTGGATATGACTGATGGTCCTTGTTCTACCAGTGGGTGAAGATCTATGTCATGAGAGACGTGGGGAGGAAAGGAAGCTACTGTTGCAGAACCCATGAGCCCAGGCACCAGACTAGATGCTTTATATAGATATTTCATTTAATCTTCACAATGACCCTAGAAGAAAGGTGTTCGTATCATGTTTTTCCAGATGAGAAAATGAATTTTGATGTCATTCCTCAGTTTCCGTAATTGGTAGAACTGATTGCTGAGTCCTTTAAGTTGATCTGTTGTCAGTGATAAATTTACATGATTTTTGTCTTCTCTTTTGGGGTTATCTTCCAGTTTGACTTTGAAGGATCGCTTTCCCCAGTCATTGCACCCAAAAAGGCAAGGCCTTCTGAGACGGGATCTGATGACGTAAGCATTGTTTTTTCTTGCTGATACAAATTAATTTGTGGGTACTTGTACCAGGCCCCATGTTTGTGGTGTTCCTGTTGATTTGTGCATATTTCTAACAGCTTTTGCTTATTTTGATTCTGAATGACAGTTATTTTGAACAATAGAGCCTGTTAAGTTTTCTGCAATTATTTATTTACTTTTGTCTTTAATGATCATCTTAAAATTACTAAACATACATAATGCTGTGTGGTACAAATTTGAGTTTATAGATATTTTACTGCCAATTAATCACCTAAAGTGACAGCATTTATTATGCAAGGTTTCTTTAAGTTCTCAAACATGTCAGATTCCATGGGTATGTTCTTGTGTTTCAACACATTCTTTTAAAATTGAGGTATAATTTGCATAAATGAAATGCTTAGATCTTAAATTTACAGTTTGATCAATTTTGACAAATACACACTCATGTAACCTACTCTGCTCTTAAGTACAAAACATTTCTGTGATTCTATACAGTTCTCTTGAGCCACTTTTAATCACGGCATCCATTGGTTTGATTTCTATCATATGTTACTTTTGCCAACTCTAAAACTTAATATAAGTAAAATAATATAGTATGTAGTCTTTGCTATAAAGTTTCCCTCATTCAGCATAATGCTTTTGAAATTCATCCATGTTGTTGCAGATATCAGTAGTTTGTACCTTCTCATTGGGAGAGCAATATGACTAGACCATGGTTTGTGTATTCATTCTTCTGCAGATGTATATGTAGCCTCTTGCCATTATTTGACTGTTATAAAGAAAGCTGCTGCCCACATTCAGTAACTAGTCTTTGTGGACCTATATTTTCATTTCTCTTGGCTAAATGAATACCTAGCAGTGCACTTGTTGGGTCGTGCTGGTCTCTGATTGATCGTAGCATGTTATGCTCTGACCGGCAGCATATGATTTGGCCCACATTTGCTGTCAGTCTTTTTCCTTTTAACCATTTGAGTGTGTACAAGGTAGTTTCTCTAAGTGGTTTTTATTTGCTTTTCCAAATGACTCATCACATTAGGCACTATTTCACGTGCTTATTAGCTACTTACATATCTTTTTGTGAAGTTTCTGTTCAGGTGTAAATTGGACTTTAAAAGTATTTATTGATCTAAAGAAGTTCTCTACATATTTTAGGTATGAGTTCTTTGTCATATGTGTGTTTTGGGAATATTTTCTCCCACTCTGGCTTAACAGCATCTTTTGCTGAGAAGAGTTTTTTATTTTGGTTGTCTGACTTATAAATTTTTAATTTTTATGATTGGTTCTGTGTCTATTGAAAGAGTTTTAAGTTAGAATAATATACTACATTAAGCCTGATAGAAACACCAATAAATTCCAAGTTCTGAAGAAACCATAGATTATCTCAACACAATACAACTGTACACAATATGACCATAGGCTGTCTCAACACAATACGATAAATCACAAGTAGAAACTAGTTCAGTTCAGTCACTCAGTCCTATCCAACTCTTTGCAACCCCATGGACTGCAGCACGCCGGGCCTCCCTATCTATCACCAACTCCTGGAGCTTACTCAAATTCATGTCCATGGAGTCAGTGATGGCATCCAAACATCTCATCCTCTGTCGTCCCCTTCTCCTCCCATCTTCAGTCTTTCCCAGGATCAGGGTCTTTTCCAGTGAGTCAGTTCTTCGCATAAGATGACCAAAGTATTGGAGCTTTAGCTTCAGCATCAGTCCTTCCAATGAATATTCAGGACTGATCTGCTTTAGGATGGACTGGTTGGATCTCCTTGCAGTCCAAGGGACTCTTAAGAGTCTTCTCCAACACCACAGTTCAAAAGCATCAATTCTTCGGTGCTCAGCTTTCTTCACAGTCCAACTCTCACATCCATACATGACCACTGGAAAAACCATAGCCTTGAC